AAAAAAAAAAAAAGAAAAGAAGACATTTTATCGAAAAGTCACTTGCACTCATATGTTTGTAACAGCACAGTTCACATGGCAAAGATGTGGAAACAACCCAAGTGCCCATCAGTACACTGGATTAACAAATGTGGTCTCTGTACACCGTGGAGTACTTCTCAGCCATAAAAAAGAAATTGGTGATCTAGTCTCTTTTGTAACAACCTGGGTGGAACTGGAAACCATTCTTCTAAGTCAACTACTGCAAGAATGGAGGAACAAAGACCATAGTACTCAAGGCTAAATGGGAACTAGTCAGTTAACACTTAGAGGCCAGACAGTTCAGTTGGAGAACTCAGGCCAGAAGTGCTGCCTACCTCATTGCTGAGTATCCCTGTGGTAACCAAATGGCCCAGGCAGTACCTGGAAAATGCCCCAAGGACTCATGGTGGTAAATTACTTCTCCATCCCACTCCACTTAAACATGCTGGTACACAGTCTGGCCAAGGCCTCATCAGGAATCTCTTGTGCTAAGGAAAGGCTCTACTGCAAGGCTCAGAAAGCAGCTGGTTGTCAGCGGTACAAGCAGCAGACCAGACCGGGGCGCTTTAATGCTGCTTAAGAAACCACACTGGTAGACCCCAGCACCTCTCCAAGGGAAACAGAAATTGCCCTTCCCTCTTCTGAATGAAATAAATCGACAAAGAAATCAACTAGAAAAAGTTGAATATTCATGAATTCAAGGCTTAGGATCTCAGTATAAAGGCTTTATAAGGAGGCTGCCAGATGGGTGGCTTCTGTGGTGACAGCCCTGGCAGGAGCATGGGAAGTGCCGTGTGAGCTATAAAGAAACCAGTTGGTAATGTAAGCATCACTACAGAGCAGACCTGCACACTCACAGCGATTGACTGCTCAGCTCTGCATTCAGCATTGCACCACGCTTGTCCCTGGAAAGAAGCCCACAAATTATTGGTGGCCCCTTCCTTGGCCCTTCTCGTCAGAACTCTACACAACCTCTCCTGTGACTCCTGAACCTCCTCACACAGGGACCGCTGCCTCTGTAAAGACAGAAGCACTTTGTAGATACCGTGTAGCCCCCCGTGTAGCCTGGAGGGGAATCAGTCATTCCTTTGTCTGGTGACCCTCAGGTAGCCAGTCAGTTCCAAGAGGTGTTCGTTTTTATGTCCCTACGATCTGTAATAGACCTGGCTTAGGATACTTGGTAAAGGACTTTCAAATGAATATAAAATTTTGGTCCTTCTGATGGGTCCCTCAGTGTTGGTGCTTGGAAAGGTCACAAAGAGTTGTGCATATTCACTATTTTTTTTTTTTTTTGAGACAGAATCTCATTTTGTCACCCTGGGTAGAGTGCCATGGCATCATAGCTCATAGCA